CAGGACAGACAGGGTGAACCCAGTGCCGTGGTGTGTGGGCCAGAGCTCTGCCCTCCTCAGCACCATCCTCATCGATTGGGGTGGTTACTCCTGATTTGCACCTGAACTTTTGAGAAGAGAGCTGGGCTCTGTGGATTATAGCAATTCAATACCATATGGTTTGCAGGACTCTGCAAGTGTGCAGACAAAACTTAGGGATGCAGCCTAGATTCCCTCACTGGTCCACAGCCTGCAGGCTTCATTAGACCTTCTAGACTTTACCTAATTTTGGCGTTATTCCYTCATCGTTACATCATGGCTGTGGAGACTGGGTCATTTTCTCCTATGTTGTGGTTGTGGAAGGGATTCACGTGCTTTTGGTGGGGGCAGGCAGCGTTTGAATAGGTTTCAACTATTTTAAGCGCCGCTGCCTGTGCTGGAGTCTCAGGAGGAGATCCAGACTCACCAGAGAGTGGATTTTACTGTCCCATCAGATGTGATGTATGGGAAAGTTCACAGCAGCAGGGTACAAACTGGGACAGCTGCTCGGTGTCCCCGGTGCTCTGCCCCCAGCCTCGGTGGCTCAGCCCATCCTTCCTCTTCATTCACTGCAAGTGGGTCTGAGTCCAGCAATGGTTTTGCTCACTTTGTTTCAGGRAAAGAAGTGCAACAAAAGCAACAAAACCTTGGTCCCCTCTGAGAGTCTTTTCCCCCGGAATTCTCTGGTAGCTGGTGCTGCATGGTGCCTGTGGGCAGTGTAAGCAGCTGGGGTTCCTTCTCTCTGTGGCACCTTTTGCAGGGGTTTTACCTGCCAAAAAAAGAACGAACCCCAAACCAGTGGATAGATTTGAAGTATCCAGACCTTCTGCACCTTTCTTGTGTTTTCCCCTTTCTCTCTTTCTTTATCAGGAGCTGAGTATTTTGTGATAGGTACTTGTAAACCTTACACTTCTCAGGTGCCCTATTTCTCCTCTTTCYCTGTGCTTTTCTGGCTCCTGTCCTCCCACTCCCAAGAAAAATCTGAAAGATAATTTGGCATATTTTCTGCCACCTTCACATATCTCCCTGCCTTCATGTTTTCTTAGCTGGTAGATAGCTTTTCAACATATATATATGTAATCCTTTTCACSTAGACTTGTGAGGAATTCCAGTCTCTTCCAGTGGGAGTTTTCAGGAAGGTTTAGATTAAATGGGCCAATAAGGTAAAAACATGATGTAGCAGGAGGTCTCACCCTCGAAAGACATATTTTTTTTATTCCCCTGGAAAATATATCAGAATATCTAGCTGTCAAAGAATTTAAACAATAACACCTGATCTGAAGACTGGAGTACCAGGCCTTTGAAAAAATACAGATTGTAATCTCTGTGTGTCATATCCAGGGACAGATGGAGCGGGAAGTCAGGTGTGCTGAGCAGCAGAATGTTGTGGGGATGCTGCTCTGGTGTGGTGGGACTCATTTCACCTGAGCTCTCCCTGGAAATTCTCTTGGATTTTCCCTGTGGCCATGGCTCATTTGTCACAGGACTGGCATGCCAGGTCCAGTTTGAATTAATGTCCAATGTGTTGGTGGTGGCTGAGCTTTTCAGTTGCTGTGTGTGAGTGGGGTGGGGRACAGCAGCAGCCCCTCGTGCTGGGTCAGCCCCTATCCCCCAGGAGCTCTCTTTGCAGTGTTCAGGGCCAGGATTCATCAGTTTGTTGTTTAAGGTTCCTGTCCCTGCTCCTGAGAGAATTTGGGGGATGCCCATTGCACAAAGAAGCACCAGCTGTCAGGGATGCTGCAGACTGGACCAGCTGGATTATAACCCACCCCAAAGCAACACTGGTCTCTCTTGTAGAAAAGGTGGTCAGAGATCCYTAGAAATTAGATGATGTTTCTAATGTCTTGAGGCTCAGATTTTTCACAAGGGGGAACCTCTGTGAGGCCTTGGCCTGTCCTAGGGCAGCTSAGGACCAGGCAGCCTCTGCTGAACCTCCTTCCCTCGGCTCCCACTCCTGGTTACTGGGCACAGGATGATCCCTGGGSGTTTGGGCTGTCTCCTAGGGCTCTGGGAGGGATGCTGGTGTGTTTACAGCACAAATGTCTCACTGGATGCCTGCTTTTCCTCTGCTGCTCAGACTGTGCTACAGCACTTGCCTGGGAGGGATCTCAGCACTTCTGTAACCTTTGCGGCCCGCAGGAAAGGTGACTTCCATTTAGTTTTAAATTATGACATTATTTTATTAGATCTTTAAACTTTATTTAAATTTTTTATTTAAAAAGGGGGAGGAAGGTATCATATTTTAATTAGTAGTGGTGCCAGAGGAGTCCTAGATTAATTATTTGAAATCACTCCATCCAGATGGTTTTAATTTTCACAGCAGGGAACCGGCATCTTTTTAAGGTGATATTTTTCAAATTAAAATCAGCTTGGATATTACTCATACTGGCTGCAGAGTGAGGGGGTAGGGAACACGAGCCAGCGTGCCCYGTGTTTGTCCATCTGAGCACGGGCTGCCAGCAGGGACCAGCGCCAGASGGTTGTGAGTGGCTGTCCCATGGGACCACAGCTCAGGGCTCTCGTGCTGGAGGGTTTTGTTGGTGTTAGCTCCTACTTGGGCTGGCCAGTACTGGTACCTGATGTTCAGAGTTGTCCTCAGCAGCTTCAGGTGCAGCACTGAGGCTGGAATGGACAGAGTTAGGGTTGGGGAAGCTGTGGTGTCCTGTTCTCCCCTGTGTGGAGTCCTCATTGACCCTTGTGCTGGGTGGCCCTGCAGCAGTTTTGGTGCCTGGGTGGTTTGGCTGCTGTGGATCTGTGGGCAGCTCCGTGGGGCTCTGTTTGCCATGGCTCTGGGRCCAGGCTTTGCTGGCCCCATAACCTTTTCCTCATGTGCTGGCTGCTGGTGTCCCTGTCTGGGGCTGACTGTCAGCCCTCTGCTCATGGGAGCTCTTTCAAAATCACCCTTTAAAGGCAGACAGTCCCATCTCTGCTATTCCCATCTCTGTTCATGCTGATTTGCACCTGAGCAGCTGTCCCTGACCTTCCTGGAGCAGTGGGCACTCACTGAGTCCACACCACACTGGTCAGCCTGCCCTTGAGGAGTTGTCCCTGGCCCTGTGCCTTCAACCACCTCCTGGCTTGGCTCACCTTGATATCYTTACTTTGATGGGTTATTTCTGGCTCATGGGCCTTCTCACAGAAGTGGTCACAGGTTTGATCCCACCTTGGCAGGTGAGGGACAAAGTGGGCAGCACGCCATGGTTGCTTCAGGCTGCTCTCCATCCCAGGTACCCAAACCCAGGAAGTGTTTCTGAAAATCTTCCATAAATATCTGTGTCTGTGCATGATTRCAAGTAATATTCTGCTGCAATACAGACATTATCCCACTTGCTGTCAGAAAGTAGTTATAATTTAAATATCCCCTGTGATACCAGGCTTAACAAATAGATCTAAATAAATGTAAGCACCTAGTAACTGGAAACCCCTGAACTTACAGATGTGACTGAGGTGCAAGGGGAAAACTGTTTAGGGCCCTTGTGAGTTAAAGGTTTGTGATATTTGCACTGCTGCAGAAGCCAAAAGCTGACTTTACAAGTGGGAAAAATATTAATGTGTTTAAATGAAACAAACTCCTATTTCTATCCCCATGGTAAATCCTTACAATGAAGATATTTGCTCTTAAARGGCTTTAAAGTTTGAAATATGAATGCCAAAAAGAATGTGACTTTTTGCAGCACAGATCAAACATTCTCCAGAGTTTGGCAAAAGCTGTATTTCTACGGTGAGCCTCAGAGCTTATAAGTGTGAGTATTTCCAGAGCAGGACTGTGGAGCTGCACTTGCTGACACACACATTCTTGCATTGTGTTTCAACTATGTCTCCTTTCTCCCCCTCCACATCGGGGATGGATCTGAACCAAAATGTCCAGGCTGCCTGTTCCTGCCTCTCCAGGGAAATTCCTGGAATCTGAATCTTGAGCATGACTGGAATTTGTTTACATTAGAGATGGAATAAAAGGCTGAATTTTTGTATGTCTAGGTTTTTGAGATGATGATGATGATGGCATGCTGCTCATCTGGGTGGCAGCCTGGCCCCTTGTGCAGGTACAGCTGTGTCAGGGCAGGGGTTTGGTGATGTAGCAGGAATCTGTCCTCTGCCCTGGCTTCTGGGGATGCTGCAAACCAGCTCTGGCATCAATAAACCTGCAAGACAACTGAGATTGGCCTCATTTCTCCCAGCTAGAGCCAGAGACCTAGAAAGCAATTCATGTCCCTCTGGAAACACAGCTAGGCACGGAGGACATCTCCAGGATGGGTGTGCATCAGACAGAACCAGCAGTGCCGAATTTCCCCCTGCTAGCTGTTGTGGTGACCTTCAGGAGATGTCTGTGATGTTTTGCACCACGAGTGTGTGGCTGAACCCCTTCTGTGCAGTGTTTCAGGGCTGCTGGCTGTGGAGAAAGGRTTTTCTTTCTTGTCGTGCTAATCTTTCATCTTCATGAGAATAAAATCTGTGTTCTTACCTTCCAAAAACCTTCCTGCAGTGTGAAAGTGAGCATTGTCATGGGAACAGGCTGCCCAGGGCAGTGGTGGCATCACCATCCCTGGAGCTGTTTAAAAGGCACGTAGATGTGACACTTGGGGACATGRGTGTAGTGGTGGCCACAGCAGTGCTGGGGGAGCAATTGGACTTGATGATCTGAGAGGTTTTTGCCAACATAAGCAATTCTCTGGTGCATAAGCAATTCTCAATTGGCATTGAGCTAATGGTGCTGATGAGGTGGTGGGGCTGGTGTGGACAGACAGACCCCCACACGTGTGTTGGCCAATTCTGTGCTAAACCAGCCCCAGATGGGGAGTGTGTGTGCAGCAGTGAGCGGAGAGGTGCCAATCCTGCACCTGCACCAAGCCGTGGGGGTCCCTGGGGCTGTCCCTGTGCAGAGCACCCTGGCGTGGGGTGGTGCAGCAGCACCCAGGGGACCTTTGCACCCTGTGACTTCATGGGACCACACTGGTAAATGCTTTTCTTTCTTCCTTTCCAAGCCCAGCTTCTAGTGGAAACAGACACTTTTGGCAGTCAAGTCCGGATCAAAGGGAAGGAGACAGATTTCTACCTTTGCATGAACAGGAAAGGCAAGCTAGTGGGGAAGGTAAGTGTTTCCTATTGTTTCATTTGTAACCCGAGTGTTACCTTTAGCAGCCTCCTCGAGGCTGTAATGATGTGTTCAAGCTTCTCCTGTCAGCCTCAAATGAGAAGCAGGACGGGGGATGTGGGGTTTGCGGGGCAGCTCAGGCTGCCCCAAGCGCTCTGCCGAGTGCCTCCCCTGCTGTAAAATGAGCCCTGCAGCCTCCCTGGGCTCTCCGGTGGTGCTGCAGGTGTGGATGGGGCCGTGACTCACACGAGATGCCATGTCAGCATCCCAGAGCCATGGCCACCTCCACRATACCTTTCTTACCTGATCTTTCTTTGGGGAGATGTTCAAATATGAATTTCCCCCAAGTTCCTTTTTGGGAGAAATTGAACCTGGAAGGGCAATCAGAGCACTGTGCTGGTGGTTCCTTCTGGGGCGTGTGGGGCACATCCTGCCAGGCTCCTTCCTGCCAGTCACGAGCCAGGGAATGGCCAGGGCTGCAATCCCAGTGCTGTGCTGGACTCCTGCTTTCAGCACCACAGGAACATTTTGCTTCGGATCCCCCCCACAATGGAATCATGTAACAAATTACAGCATGTTCACCCCTCCAGCTTAACTTCTTGGCTGAAGCAGTATTTGTTGTGTATTCACTTGTTTTTGTAATTCACACAGTTCTGCTGTATTGTTGGCCAATCTGGAGGCTTGCTAGCCAGAGGCTCGTGCAAAGCTGAAGTACCACCAAAAAATAAATGTCAAATAAAATATTCCAGCCTTCAAACCCCTGCTGCCCTTTGTACCACCAAGAATTCAAATCTAGCATCTTTGTGGCCATGAAAAGGGAAACTGAGTTTTATTTTTAGTCGAGACAGTGAAAGCCTTGCTCCCAAAAAGAAACCAGAAACCAAATAGCTCTGATGAAAAATGATTTACTATTGTGGTCCCAGGAATGACACCTGAGGGACACCGACTTCCCTGGAGTATCCCTCCCTCCTCCCRCCTGTGTTCCTTGGGGAGCAGATGCTCTGTCAGGACTAAGCCCAGTTTGCTTGCTGCCAGCCAGGAGCCTGTGGCTGAGCTGCTTTGGAGCTGCCTGGCGAGGCAGAAGGTGTCCAGGGCACTGCTGAAAAACAGTGAGAAAATGAAATTGGTCCTCTGGGAGGGCTGGAGCAAAGCAGCCAATTCTCTCTGCTTCCTGCACTTGTGTTGCCACACTGCATAAGACCCCATAGTTTGGTCTTGGACAGGGCAATTAACAGTTTTACCTGGATTTAGACCACGTTGGATGCTTTCAAAGGTTGCATTGGACACAAACCTGCCTATGATTTTTTTGTGCCYTAATTTTCCATCCTTTAAATGTGATCATAGCATTTTTCCCTGAAATGTTACAAGGATAATTTCATTAATATTTATGAGGTGCTGATACCAGTCATGGAGACCTTAGAAGTRCTCAGATGGGATAAAATGAGCACARAATCTTAGCTTTTCCTTCAACAGATCTTGYCCCAGGTGGATCAGTGGTGACCCTCAGGGCAGCACTGTGTGTGCAGGAGCCTTCTGGCAGTGTCAGCATCTGTTTTTCCATGCATACACTGTGTTTGTATGCACAATGTATTTAAGACTCAACCCTTGATTCTGCTCAGTGCACACTGAGGCAGGACAGTTCTTYAGCTTCTCACCTTTTGGGCAGCATGAACCTGTTTTTGTCCTCCTGATGTACTTTCCAATAGTGTTAAGCTGGTAAATATTTTGTTACAGAGAATAAAGGAGTCTGTTCTTGTACACACCATTGCCTTCCCACCCCAAGCTGGTGCTGAGTCCCCAAAGCAGCTGAGCTGGGCTAGGGCAGCACGGCCCTTGGAAGGAAAATGTTCCAGACATGTTGCCCACATTAACAGCTTCTCAAGAGCGAAAAAARAAAACAATAGCATGTCTTCTTGATACCAAAGAGTGTGGTTTTAATTAGTGTCATAGTTCCAGCTCTCTTTGTGGCAAGAGTTTGAGGGAATGCTTTTTAGCCTGAATGCTCTAAACAGCTAGTAAACCCCAAGGAAAATATGAGATAAAAGTTGTGCCTGGGCTTATACAAATATTTGAGTTGGGTCTGGGGTGGAGGGTAACCAAGCCCATGGAGTGATTGTTTCACGGTCATCCTGGTATGTTCGTTTGGCAAGAGAGGAGCTGTGGGACCAGCCCGGCCTTTTCCTCTGCTCGTTTCCTATTGCCTTACACTGCATAACCCCTTACATGACTAGTACATGCCATCTGGCTTTGTTCTCCTCCTCACTCAGCAGTTTTGGATCCCCCCACTTGAAACCTGCTTTGAATTTAGTCCCTTTTTGTGTCCCATAATCACCTATCAAGTGTACCACAGTCAGGAGCAGGTTGTTGTTGTTCTCAGCTGGAGCCGGTGATCAGCACAAGAGCTCCAGAGATGGACAAGGCTTCTCCCCACCTTGGAGCTGGCTGTGTGGCAGGGAAGCAGATTAACCCCCTGGGGGTAAGAAGAGCAGCCTTTGTGTCTTTATTTATTTATGCTGAATTGCAGCTCCACCAGTGTTTCCCAGCGGAGCCATGTGATGGAGCTGCTGAGGAGCCCCAAACCCCACGGGCTTTGCCTCGCTTGGGTGTTGCTGTGAGTGTGTTCGGGGCCAGCAGTGGCCAAAGGGCTTGGGGATACTTTGGGCAGAGCCTGACTCCTTTGTAACAGCAGCTGCTGAGGTCACTGACACTCTGTGTGCTGGTTTGGAAAACTGCAGACAGGGAAGGTGTTGTACAGGGGTGACTTTTCTGTTAAAGCGAAACAGCACCTGGGGAAAACATATTAGGTTGTGTTTTTGTGGATTCTTGTTGTTGTGTTGAAAAAGGCTCAAGAAACATATAATGTTAATTTATTTTACTTCTGCCCATATAWTTCTTTGCCCATGGGTTTTTGGTGCTACATAAAAACTGCAGATCCTGAGTTTTCTGGTTTTCCTGAAGTTTTCTGTGGAGCTGTGAATTCTATTATAAAATCACAGAATGGCTTGGGTTGAAATGGACCTTAAAGTTCATCTCACCCCAACCCTGCCATGGACAGGGACACTTCCCACTGTCCCAGGGTGCTCCAAGCCCCATCTGACCCAATCTTGGACACTTCCAGGGATGGGGCAGCCACAGCTTCTCTGGATAACCTGTGCCACTGCCCTCAAAGTAAAGAATTTCATCCTTATAGCTGGTACAAATTTACCTTCTTTTAGTTGAAGCCATTACTTCTTGTCCTATTGCAAAAAATCCTGATAAAAGGTTKGTCCCCATCTCTCTTTTAAGTCCTGAAAGGCTGCAATAAGTTCTTCCTAGAGCCCTCTCTTCTCCAGGCTTTATGGTGGAATCATACTGCAAGGAGAGATTAAAATATGAAAATTCAGAACAAGAATGCCAGCTGCTTTTCTAAGGAACTTTTTTTGTCTTTTTTTTGTCTTTTTTTTTAAATTATTAATCCTGTTTATTTATGTCAGGCTCCTTATAAACATGGGGGAAGAGGACTCTGAAAGGTCCAGTTCTGAGGAGAGGCGTGATGTGCTTTGTCCACTTGTGACAAGGCACAAGGTGACAACTCACCCAGAACACAAGGACTCTGAATATTGGTAGTAATTCAGTGTGAGGGGCAAAGAGGAGCTGATGGTCTCTTTGGAGGAGCTCTTGAGTTTCTGACTGGCTCTCCTGGGGTGCCATTCTGTGGTTTTCCTCTATGCCTCGACTTCTCTTATCTTGTGCGCTGAGATAAGGCCATGAGTGAAGTGGAGGCTCCGTGTTTGCTGAAAGCTGGCTCAGGAAGGTCTTTGAAGTCTGCCAGGATGAGGAATCAACCTGGGCTGAGCCTGAGGTGGSTCCTGAGCCTGGCTCCAGCTGCTCTGGTTGAGCCTGTCCCTACAGCAAACCCAGGCTCTCTGGGACTGGGATGCTGCAGGGATTGCCTTTCCCTGCCCTGTGCCAAAGCCCTCCTGTCAGGAGGCATTTGCAGTCAGAGCTCTCTGTGGAGCCTGAACCATCACATGAGGGTGGCTGCTGCATGAGAAGAGCAGGGTATCCACTGACCCCTGGCACTGTCCCTATGGAATTAATTCCCTGTGKCTCTCAGATGTCCACCTGAGGGATGAGGCAGTCTGGTCAGTGCTGGTGCTCAGGCTGTGGCAGGGATCCATCCATGGGGAGGGGATTTCACACTCCCACCTGAGAGCAGAGAGGAGAGAACAGGCCTGCTGTTCCCTGCTGACCAGGGCAGGGGAGAGTGGACCTTGGCTTTCTGCAGAACTGCCAGTGGGAGGTGAGGGGGCCATTGCAGGGCATGACAAGGGAGACAGAGTTCTCAGAGCAGGATGTAAAAGCAGGGGAGGCCAGTAATGGCTGGAAGGAATCCAGATTTGAGAAGAATGAGGAAAGAGGTAAGCACATATTTTATTTGATCCAGAAGTGTCTTCAGAAGATGCTCCAGCCAATCCTACTAATGGCTTTAGATGGATTACATCCTTCCCACACCCAGCAGCAGTGTTGTTCCCTGTTCACTTTGAGAACAGCTCTGTCTCTCAATGTGTTAAGTGACTCCTTGAGATCTTTCAGGATGGAGAAGCAATTGTTGGTGCTGGAGTCCATCTCCTGCATGTGGGATGGGGCTCAGGATGCAGGGGGAGTTGGGGCAGCATGGCCTGTTGGGTGCTGAGCTCCTGTGCCATGCTGCTCCACTTGGTGTGGCTGTGGTCTGGACAGTGAACCCTGCAGGAAACCTCTGCTCTGCTGTACACGTGGGTGAGTCCTTCCTCTGAGGCAGGGTGTGGCTGTGCAGAAAATTCCAGAAAGAGGAGTGATAGAAGGGAATCTATCACAGATAACCCCTGCCAGCTCACAGGAAGTGAGAGCACTGCAGCTGCCTCCTGAGAGAAGTCCCTGCTCATGGCATCAGCTCTGCTCCTCCTAAGAACTGAAGCCTGAGAATATGTGATCCTATAAAACAGGTGACTTCCCACCAAGTCCACATGCTGAAT